GACCATGTTCATGTCAAAGAGGGCAGGTGACTCGACCATGTGCATGACAGAGGGGGGAGGTGACACGAACATCTACACTTCAGAAGGGGCAGGTGACAAGATCATTTTGGTTGCATAGCGGTCAGGTGACACGACCATGTGCACGTCAAAGAGAGCAGGTGACATGACCATGTGCACGACAGAGAGGGCAGGTGAAACGACCATGTGCACATCAGAGAGGGCAGGTGACACGACCATCTGCACATCAGAGGGCGCAGGAGACACAACAATCTGCACGTCAAAGGTGGTAGGTGACACGACCATGTGCACGTCAGAGGGGCAGGTGAAACAACCATGTGTACGTCAGAGGGGTCAGGTGACACGACTATGTGCACGTGAGTGGGGGCTAGTGATACGACCATCTGCAGGTCAGAGGGGAGAGTTGACACGACCTTGTGCATGTCAGATCGAGCAGGTGACGTGACCATGTGTACGTCAGAGGGGGCAGTTTATATGATGATCTGCAAGTCAGAGGGGCAGGTGACATGACCATCTCCACGTCAGCAGGGGCAGGTGACACGACCATCTTTATGGCAGAGAGGGCAGGTGACACGACGATGAACACGTCAAAGAGGGTACGTGACACGACCCTGTGCACAACTAATACGGCAGGTAACACGACCATGTACACGTCAGAAAGGGCAGGTGACACAAACATATGTATGTCAGAGGGGGCAGGTAACACGACCATCTGCATGTCAGAGGGGTAGGTGGCACGACACTCTACTCGTCAGAGAGGGCAGGTGACACGACTGTCTTAATGGAAGACAGGGCAGGTGACACGACCATGTGCATGTCAAAGAGAGTATGTGACATGACCATGTTACACGTCAGAGAGGGCAGGTGACACGACCATCTGCATGTCAGAGGCGGCAGATGACACAACCATCTGCATTTCAGAGGGGGCAGGTTACACGACCATCAGAGGAGGCAGGTGACTGCACCATCTGCATGTCAGAGTGGGCAGGTGACAAGACCGTCTGCATGTGTGTGGGGGCAGGATACACGACCATCTGCACGTCACAGTTGACAGGTGACACGACCATCTTTACAGCAGAGGGTCAGGTGACACGACCATCTGCAAGTCAGAGGCAGCAGGTGACACCACCAACAGCAAGTCAGAGCGGGAGGTGACACGACAATCTGCACGTCAGAGGTGGCTGAAGACACGACCATCTGCACATCAGAGGGGACAGGTGACATGACCATCTTTACGGCAGAGAGGGCAATTGATATGCACATGTGCACGTCAAGGAGGGCAGATGACACGACCATGTGTGGGACAATGAGAGCAGGTGACACGACTATGTGTGTCCCGCACTATCGTCTTGCCAGCAAGAACGATGCGGCACACTCAGGATCCTTCTGCAGAAAAGCTTTAATGCATCTTGAGAGGGAGAGCATAAGCTTACAGGGCGAAGACCCCGAATGTCGGAAACCCAGCCCTTATATAGGTTAGTAAGCCCGTCTTGGACGTGGCAACTCTTGATTGGTCGCAAACTCATCAGCCCATATCACGCCACGAGGTAGGCAGAGACTAGAAGGTGGAAAATTACTTCGGGCATGCGTACTGACTTATTTACTGCTCAGCATGAACCGGATGTGAGCGCCATCTTGTAATGGCATCTGCAGGGACGGCAGGCGGCTCCCCACACCTGCCTGTCTGAGAAAAGAGACCCTCAAGGACACCAAACCCGGACACTAATTCAACTCCCTACAAAGTACAACTGTGTCTCACAACCCTGGTATAAAAACCCCATTTTCTTTGTCTAGTTGTAGAAGCTTGGTTCCCGCAGACAGCCTCTACCTCTCACTGTATCTTCTTTGAATAAAGGAAGATCTATTCCTTGCCTGTTGCAAGTCTGGCTCTGTTTTCTTGTCTCCTATTTTTCTATTTTTCCTTTTATTCTCCAAAAATCTAACAGGGTTGCTTCTTTTTTTTCTTTTTCTACTATATAACTCCACTCTTAGCCTGGGGTTCATGGTTCACCTGTGTGAGCATAACTTTGAGTACTTGTTAAAATTCACATTACTGCTAGGCATGGTGGAACATACTTGGAATCCCAAGTCTTGGGAGATAGAAGCAGGAGGATTACCACAAGTTCAGTCAGGGCTACATGAAGAGACCCTATCTAAAATAAATAAATCCATGTTATTGATTCCTCTAGGGAAGTTTTCAATCCTGGTAGTCTAGGGCATGGCCTAAGGATGAGCATTTCTTTTTTTTAAAAAAATTAATTATATGTCTATGAGTGTTTGCCTTCATGTATGTAAGTGTACCTATGTCATGCAATGCCCACAGAGGCTACAAGAGGGCACTGAATCTCCTGGAACTGGTGTTACAGTTTTTATTCACCATGTGGGTGCTGGGAACTGAATCTGGGTCCTCTGTAAGAGCAACCAATGCTCTTAACTGCTGAGCCATCTCTCCAGCCATGAACATTTCATAAAATATTTAATTAATTAATTAATTAATTAATTTTCACTTTGTGTGTATGAGTGTTTTGCCAGAATGTATGTAAGTGCACCTGTTGTGCAATGCCCACAGACGTTAGAAGAGAGCCTTGAATCCCCTGGAACTGGAGTTACAGATTGTTGTTTGGCACCATGTGGATACTAGGGACTGAACCCTGGTTCTGCAAGAGCAGCCAGTGCTCTTAACCACTGAACCAACTCTCCAGCCCCAAGGATGAACATTTCTAACAAGTTCCCAGGTGCTGCGAAGGGCTCACTTTGGGAGCCAAATCCTGGTAGAAAGGGCAACCTCTTGAATGCCTTGACATGTAAGTGGCACAGATTACTCATGTGCACCCATTTAAATGTCAGGCTGGGTGATGGGGTCACCAGAGTTCTTCTGAACACCTGGTACTAAGTAAAGGAAACAGGAATGTTGAATCACCTCATAATCTCTGCAGATCTAAAGAGAAGAGCCTTCTGGGAAAAACCCTGTTTATGCACAGGCCTGGCATAAGCCACAACCCCTTTTCAGCTGGTCTGTGGAAAAGGACAAATGCCCTTCTTTCCTCAGGTCTCCCCATGTCTCCTTGTCTTGGGTCCTGGGTCCGGTTCAACTATCAATTTTTCAAAACCCTATTCCTTATTTTATATATCATTCTTTTTCGGTCCTGATTGTGAGATCAATAGTGACTGCGAAACTTCCTGTGTGATGGGGGGGGGCACGGGATGGACAAGGGTTATAGTAGAGACTGGTCAACAAGGTGGTGCCATCCTTGGTCCAGTCTTCACCAGTTAGGTCCTGGAGGCGCTGCCACACACACAAAGCAGTGGGGATGCGATGGGTGATGTGAGGCCCAATCACAGTCAAGGAATCTAAAGTCAGCTTGAGGACCACACTGGGTCCAGGTGCTGTAACCAGAAGGCGCAGAGGCAGGGTCAGGCTCTTGGAGCCATCACGTCCGGTGCTGGAGTGATCACGTGTCCAAGACGGCATCCCGTACTGGGACACCAGCACGTGACAGCCTGCTGGCGCTGTCTTCCCAGCCCTTGGTGGCATCCGTACATCCTCATGGCTACCTCACCTAGCGGCCTGCGCGCTGGGCCTGGGCCTGGACCTGGACCCTTGGGGCGCTGGGTCCTAACCTACTGCGTGGTCCTGATGTTGCTGCCTTCGCCGCCAAACTTAGGTGAGCCAGGCGCCTTCTCTGCTGTCCTCCCTTCCTTCTCCATCCGCTCTAGTCTTGCTCGAGTTGGCTATACCTTTCCGCCACCTGGAACTTTTGTACGCCATCCCCATCTCACAGTCACCGCTCCTCGGCTACTGGCTCCCAGGATCCTAAACCCCTATTCCTCTGCCTTCAGGCCACACCTGCCCTCCATCTTTCTGGGGACCAGTAGTGGGTAGCTACACCCTTTACAGATTAGCCTTGCTGGCCAGGACTAATATCCAGACTTCCGCAGCCACACACTCCCCGCACCCTGAAAACCCTCCTACTCTACCCCTTCACCAGACTCTGTGCTCTTTGCTGGAGGCTGGGCCCCCCTGGAGAGCCCACTTTGGTGTGAGGTGTAACCAGTCACCTTCTGGATCTTCATCTTCTCAAAAGAATGATATTCAAAGCATTAGATTCTTCCCAGATCTGCCTCACCAGCATCTGCTTAATTTCCTCAGGAAACAGGCCTGAGTGCTGTCTTTTTAGGCTCTCCCCACCCCCCTAGAGAGCACTCCAAATCTGACTGTGCTCTGTAACACCCTCCTCACACACTTATTTGCAAATGAGAGCAGGACTCCTGAACAGGGTGGGTGGGAGCAGCCCCACCCCATACTGTAGTGCACTCCTTCAACCAGACACTCATCCTAGTGTGTTTACTGCCCTTCTTCCTGTGTCTCTCCCAGTTCACTGCTAGCTTTCCCCAGAGTGGTTCTCTTTCTGCTTGACTCTAGCACTTATTTCCCATTTCATCCTCAAGCCCATTCCTGACATATTTTTGTCTTTATTGTCCCTGACCTTTCTACTGTCACCCTCCTTTTTCATTTCCTGTTGCTTCTTACATGCCCACCCCCCTTTCTTTTTTTGAGACAAGGTCTCCTTGGGGCCCAGGGTGGCCTTGAACTTGCTGTGTAGCTGAGGATAGCCTTGAACTCCTGATCTTTCTGCCTCCTCCTGAGTGCCGGAATTGTAAGCATACACCACCCTCCTGGCTTCCTGATTCTCCTCTACCTTGGGAGAAACGCCCTCTGTCCTCTGTCCACACCAGGCCACCCAATCTCTGCTCATCTCTGACATAAGGGTGTTTCTGAACATGCTAGTCTCTGCCCCTTCCCTCTGCTCCTTGGATGAACTTAGTTTCCCTGAGCATTCACCTGCAGTTATGTGATGTCACTTCATAAAACAACAGAATGGAGGTGCACTGACTGCTGGAACGCTCCACCTGAATGATCCAAAAACATCTTACCTCTTTGGTGTCCAAGCTAGACCCTCATTTTCCTACAAACTGGCTTTTCTTTGTTTTCTAACTCAGTGAATGGCAGCTATCCTTCTCTGAACTCAGAAAGCAGTGTCATCCGAGGCTAGCCTCTGTCTCTCGTTTTCCCACTGAGCTCATGGGACCTGTTTTTGGTCGTGTTCTTATTCAGACCTCCTCATTGCTTGCCTGAGTTCTTCAGAGACTCCAGGGTGATCTCACTGCCATCCATCCTGTCTACTCTCCCTGTTGGCCTTCACCCTGCCACACCTCCCCTGGGTTCCCAGAGGTTCTCATCCCAACTTCTTGACTGGGCTCATGTGGCTATCTGTGGTTGACCCCTGACTCTCGTCTCTAGGTATCATCTTTCTCTGGCCATCGTGGTCATCACTTTTGTTCTCCAGAGGCTCCAGTATATACTGTTATGTTTCTTCTGTGAGGAATGCTAGTGACAATTTTCATTTTTGTTTTTCTTTCTCATCTTTAAGACCTGGTTCAGTACTCCCCCTTCTCAGCAGTCTCTTATATCCATCTTCTGGACTCACTTGACATCTCTGGCCTTGTCTCTGCACTGATCTTACATAAGTGGTGGTGTATTTACTTCTCCTAACCATCTGGGCATCATGTTCCCCTGGGGCAGGCTCTGTCTGCTATGCCTGTTGTCCTAGCCTGTGGCTCCAGGTTGGGAGTAGAGTGAGAGATTAGGAAATATTCATTGAGTGAATGAATGGATTAATTAATGGATGAAAAACATACCTCTTTACTGCCATCCTGTCACCAGCTCTTGCTGCTCTCCTTTTCTGTTTCAGGTTATAAAGAAGACCAAACCCAACCAGAAAGGTCATGGGTCCCTGTGGTAGGGAAAGCTTTTAGTTCCTGGGAAGATACTTTCTGAAAGGCTCTGAGTAAATAGCATTTTTTGGGTTGGAAGGAAGCAGCAATCTAATGGTCATACTGCCTAAAGAGCACCCATAAACTGCCAGGATATAAACCCTAACAGTCCAGAAGAAAGGTTCTCTTTCATGGGAATGCACAGCCTCTTTGAATTCAGCTCAGGCTGTGCCCAGCAAGCTGATGTAAACCCTTTCCCACAGTTGTATAAGGAAACTCCTGGGCTCAGGGGCACCATCTGCAGAGCCTGGCTCTTGGGGGCTTATTCCTTAGATCCAGGGGGTACATGATTGGTCCTGTCCTAGGTTCATGGGCCTCTGTTGCCTTGGGTTCTGCTAGGACTGCACCATGATTCACTAGTGACTATTTGGCTGATTTATTAAGTTAACTGTTCTTACTTCTATCCAGGCCTCACTCCTAGTCCCCTTCTCCTCACTTCAACCTTTCTTAAATATGGCCAGTATATTCAGTGAGTGTGTTTGAAAAAATTGATATTGCTGGTGTGTGTGTGTGTGTGTGTGTGTGTGTGTGTGTGTGTATTTTTCTTTCACATAAATGGTATATAGTCTGGATTTCTTTTAGGTTCTTTAGTATCATTTAAAGATGTCTTGAGTGTATGTATGTGCACATGCATGTGCATGCATATGGAGGCCAGAGGTCAACCCAAAGTGCTCCCCAGGTGCACCTTGTGTTTGGAGATGGGGTTTCTCATTAGTTCGGCAGTTACTGTATAGGCTAGGCAGTCTTGCTAGTGAGCCCCAGGGATCTGCCTGTCCTATCTCCCAGCAGTGGGGTTACAAGTGTGCACCACCATGCCTGGCTTTTTTACTTGAGTGTTGAGGATTGAACCTGGGTCTTCATGTTTGCACACCAAGCATCTTAGCAGCTGAACAATCTCCCCAGCTACTAAAGATATTTTTCATTTGGAAATGCATTTTTCATTAATTTTTAGCTAGCGTATAATGTTTTATTATGACATTTTCAAATGTGTATAGAATTTCATTCTGCTCATATTTACCCACATCACCCTCTCGTTCACTATTACTTGTCCTTTTCTTATGTTTTCATAATGTGTATATATATATGTATGTATATATAGTTCCCTAGGTTCTGCAGTAAGTGTTCTTAACTGCTGAGCCATCTCTCCAGCCCTATACTACACTTTATTCATTTTAGACAGGAAACAGATTCCATATCGTGGCTGTTGTTGACTCATACAGCATTAAACAAGGATGTGCAAGTATCTCTGTGATATGTTAACTTTGAGTCCTTTCAGTACACATTTAGAAGTGGCTTAGCTCAGGGCTGGAGAGATGGCTCAGTGGTTAAGAACACTGACTGTTCTTGCATAAGACCCAGGTTCGAATCTGGGCACCCACATGACAGCTAACAACTGTCTGAAACTCCAGTTCCAGGGAATTCGATGGCCTCTTCTGTCCTCTGTGGGCATTGCACAACACGGGAGCACTTACATACATGCAGGCAATACACGCATACACATAAAATAAAAATAATAAAAAAATTTTAAAAAAGAAGTGGTTTAGCTCAATCACATGGTGGTTATATTTTAGTTTTTTATTTCTATATATTGTAGCTGTGCCAATTTCCATTCCTACTGTATAAAGTTTCCTCTGTCTCCACACTTCATCAGTATTGCTTGCTTTGATTATATATATATATATATATAGTGACTGAGATGGAATCTCAAAACAGTGTAAATTTGCATTTCCCTGATGGCTAAATAGACAAATGGAATAGAACAGAAGACCCAGCAATAAACCCACACAGCTGCAATCGCCTGCTCTCTCACAGAGAGTTCAAATCATACATTGGAGAAAAGAAACAAACCTTCAAATGGTGCTGGGAAACCTGGATAGCCACATAAGGAGAAGAGAACTAAATCCACATCTGTGATCATGCACAAAAATCAAATAGATCAAAGACATTAATGCAAGACCTGAATCTCAAATCGTTTCAAGATATGGACACAAGCAAGGACTTTCTGAAAGACCTCCAATAGCACAGAAAATAATTCCAAGATTGACAATGGAATCGTATGACATTAAAAGCTTCTGCATTGAAAAGAAAACAATTATGGGCTGGAGAGATGGCTCAGAGGTTAAGAACACTGACTGTTCTTGCAGAAGACCTGGGTTCGGATCCCAGAACCCACATGGCAGCTAACAACTGTCTGTAACTCCAGCTCCAGGGGATCCGACAATCTCTTCTGTCCTCCACGGGCATTGCATGACACGGGTGCACTTAACTACATGTAGGCAATACACACGTACACATAAAATAAAAATAAAAAATAAAAATTTAAAGACTTAAAAAAAGAAAGCAATTAACAGAGTGAGGAGACAACCTACAGAATGAGAGAAAAACTCTGCACATTAGACAGTATTTAGAATTTATAGCTGGGCGTGGTAAAGAACTCAGAACACTAAATACCCCCCAAATAAATAATCTGATCAATAAATGAGCTAATGGATTAAGTAGATGGCACTCACAGGAAAATACAAGTGCAAGTGGCTAATAAATATTGGAAAAAGTGTTCAATGTCCTGCCAATTGTGTGCGTGTGTGTGTGTGTGTGTGTGTGTGTGTGTGAGAGATCTCTAGATATATAGAATATATATATATATATATATATATATATAGAGAGAGAGAGAGAGAGAGAGAGAGAGAGAGAGAGAGAGAGAGTACACACTCAGGGGTATGCGCTTATGTGTGGAGGCCAGAGGAAGCATATACTTTGTTTTTTGAGACAGGATCTCTTACTTGAGACCAGAGCACACCAGTTAGGCTAGGCTGGCTTACCAGCGAGCCCT